GGTATCATGATGAAGTGATGTGTGATGTGGTTCCTTTGCATGTCAGGCATATTTTATTGGGGAGACCATGGCATATGATAGGAAGGTGATGCATGATGGATAAAAAAATAGATACAATTTTACTAAAGATGGAAAGTTTATTACTCTTGTGTCGTTAACACCAACACACGTTTATGAAAATCAACTCAAATTGAAAAAGTGAGGAAGAAAAAAGATTGAGAGAAAATAAGAGTGAGATTGATTTTTCACAACAAGAAAGCAAAAGAGAAAAAAGCGAGATGGCAAATTGTGAGGAAAAAAGAGTAAAGTCACAAAAGAGTAAAGAAAAAACGCCTTATGAGAGGAGAGAAAAGTCGAAAGAGAGTTTCTTTGCAAAATGGAGTGAGTTGAAGAGGGCAATAGTTGAGAATCGACCTATGATCTTGTTGGTTTATAAGGAATCACTCCTCGACTTTGAGGAATCTAGAACACCTCTGTCTAATTTGGCTACTTCTTTATTGCAAGAATTCGAAGACTTGTTTCCGGAGGACATGCCTATTGAGCTACCACCCATTCGAGGTATTGAGCATCAAATTGACTTTGTATCTGAAACTGCCATTCCAAATAGGCCGGCTTATCAGAGTAATCCCGATGAGATCAAGGAACTTTAAAGGCAAGTGAAAGAATTGATAAGCAAAGGGTATGCGAGGGAAAGTATGAGTACATGTGCCGTGTTAGTGCTACTTGTGCCGAAGAAATATGAGACTTGGAGGATGTGCTTTAACTGTCGGGAGTTCAACAACATAACGGTAAAATATCGTCACCTTATACCTAAGTTAGATGATATGTTAGATGAATTACATGGATCATGCATGTTTAGTAAAATAGATCTATAAAGTTGATATCATCAAATTAGGATGAGAGAGGGGGATAAGTGAAAAATTGATTTTTAAGACTAAGTATGATTTATATGAGTGGTTAGTCATGCCATTTGGACTTACTAATGCACCTAGCACGTTTATGAGATTAATGAACCATGTCTTGTGTGCATATATGGGTAAATTCGTAGTAGTTTACTTCGATGATATCTCAGCATATAGTAAGAATTTAAATGAGCATATATGACATTTAAAATGTGTGTTTGTGGTCTTAAGACTAGAACAACTTTATGTTAACTTTAAAAAGTGTATATTTTGCATGAATAAAGTTATTTTTCTTGGTTATGTTATTAGTGCAAATGAAATTAAACTAGATGTGGAGAAAATCAAAGCTATCATTGAGTGGACAACGCCTAAAAGTATAACTAAGATAAGATTTTTTCATGGTTTAGCTAGTTTTTATAGGCATTTTGTTAAAAATTTTAATACACTTGCCACACCACTCACAGGGATTGTAAAGAAAAGTATAGGATTTCATTGGTGTTTTGAACAAGAACGTGCTTTTAGTACTATTAAAGATAGGTTGTGTCTGCACCTATTTTATCACCACCTAATTTTAAAAATACTTTTAAGATTGAATGTGACGTCTCAGGAATAGGTATTGGAGTTGTCTTAATGAAATAATGAAAGTCAATAGCATACTTTAGTGAAAAGCTAAGTAGAGCAGCTCTCAAATATCCTATTTATGACAATGAGTTATATGAATTTGTTCGAGCTTTGGAGACAATGCAGCACTACCTATGGTCAAAGGAGTTCGTGATTCACACCGATCATGAGTTCTTGAAACATTTAAAGGGTTAAAGTAAACTAAAAAAGAGGCGTGCAAGGTGGATGGAGTTCATCGAGACATTTTCATATATTATTTGATACAAATAAGGTAAATAAAATGTAGTGGCAGATGTACTGTCAAGAAGGTATGTACTTCTCACTTCTTTGGGTGCTAAATTGCTAAGATTTGAATATGTTAAGGACATGTATACTAATGACCCAGACTTTTCTAATATATATGATTCATGTGATAAATGTGCTATAGAGACATGATGTATATTTGTTTTGGGAGAATAAGTTATGTGTACATGGGTGTTCAATGAGAGAATTGTTAGTATGTGAAGCACATAATGGAGGTTTAACGAGTCACTTTGGGACTAAGAAAACTTTGGATATGTTAAATGAACACTTCCATTGGCCTGAAGTGAAGGTTAATGTTAATTGGGTTTGTAGTAAATGCATCACTTGTAAAAATGTTAAGTCTAAGGTTTTACCTCAAGGTTTGTATACGTCATTACCCATTCCTAGTGAGCCTTGTGTTAATGTGTCTATGGACTTTGTGTTAGGTTTACCTAGGACTAAGAAATGATGAAATTCCATATTTGTGGTGGTAGATAGATTTAATAAGATGACGCATTTCATTCCATGTATGTCATAAAACTGATGATACCACTAGTATTTGCGGATTTGTTCTTTTAAGTAGAACGCTTACATAGGGTACCTAGGAGTATTGTATCAAATAGGGATGTTAAGTTCCTTAGTCATTTTTGGAAGGTTTTGTAGGGTAAGTTAGGAACTAAACTATTATTCTCTACAACTTATCACCCAACGAATGGGCAAACTGAGATTGTTAATAGGACTATAATACAACTATTACGCACTATAGTCAATAAGAACTTGAAGAGTTGGAAGGTTTGCTTGCCATTCATAGAATTTGCATATAATAAGGTCACTCATTCTATTATTTCTTATACCCCGTTTGAAATTGTTTATGGTTTTAATCCACTAACACCTTTGGATTTAATTCATTTACTTGTTGATGAGATAGATAACTTAGATTGAAAGAAGAAGACCGAATTGATAAAATCCCTCCATGAGAAAGTATGATGCTAGACCATTCCAAGTGCTAGAAAAAATCAATGACAATGCCTCTAAGTTGGAGCTTCTAGGTGAGTATAACATTTGTGCTACTTTTAATGTTTCTGATTTTTCCTTGTTTGATGCAGGTGAAGATTTGAGGACAAATCCTTTTGACAAGGGAGAGATTGATGAGATCCATGATACGAGAGCTAGCGAGAGTAAGAATCCGTTGATTGTGAATGAAGGACCAATGACGAGATCACGGACAAATAAGGTCAAATAAGCTATGTGATTGCTTGTTCAAGCTACAGTGGACGAAATATTAATCACAACAAGTAAATGAAAAACTTTCATGTTGGATTTGGAAGAGAAAACAAGATGAATCAACTTGGTGCAAGCAATAGGCGATAGAGCTGATAGGCAAAGTTATGTGACATCGTAGCATACCTATGCATGCAGCCCCATGCATCCATACCGAACCGAACCAAATTGAGGGCAATTGAAGTGGTCTATGCGATCGCATGCAGTTTCACTATGCGGCCACGTAGTACAATTTCTGGACGGGTTTTTTTTTTTTTTCAAATTTTGTTTAGACTTCTATTTTAATTAAAACTCTTTTATGGTTTTCCTTTTTATATCTTTTAGGTGTAATTCCGTTTCCAATTAGGTCTTATGGGTTTCATATAAAATTAAATGAAAAATGTAAGAAAACGTAACTCATTTCCAAGTATGTAAAGGCCAAGTGACAAACTATTATAGATACTCAATAGATTAATTCTCTATAGTATTATAATACATTTATTTTATTAATAAAGCATGTTAAAAGTCTCCAGGAAACCCATCACATTCCTTATAACTCAAATTATGATTTCTTTTGTAGTTTCCATATTTTTTACCATTACTAGGTGTAAACAACGTGCAATGCACGTTTGCGTAGTTTATATTTAATAGTTTTGTTTAAGAATTAATTTGTTATTAATAAAGATGTAATTTTTTTGGTTAATTAAATAATTAATGAAGTAATGTTTATGTAATTGATAAATAATTAGATGTGTGATTTTGATATTGTGATGTAGGTTGGTGAGATTGAAGAAAATAAGCAAAAGTAGACAAATTTGGAGAAATGGCTAAATTGTAAGGGATCCAAAGTTCGGGGGCTAAAATGTAAATACTTAAAAGTTGTGCCGAATCTCACGATGAAGATTTGAGCCTCCTCGGAGTCAATTGGATAAAGGAAGATGTCAAGGGGATCAAATTTAGTCAAAAGATGATCACAAATCAATTTCCAACCGAAAAATTATGTTCCGGTGTTTTAGTTTCATATTGAGACATATTTGGCATATGAAGTGGTCGAATTAGAGAATGATGTCTGAACCAAAGTTGTAACCAAATGAGTTAGATTTCCAACGCATTTTGAATTACCTCAATCGGATATCGAAATACAAAGTTATGTTAAAAACACTGAAAGAATGTGCACCTGCCTGTTTAAAATAAGAAATTCCGTTACATAGTCCGTTAAAATAACAAATTCCGTTAGTTTCTCCGTTAAAAACAAGAAATTCCGTTACATAGTCACTTTTAATATATAGAAGATATGGGGAAAAGTATTCAATTGAACTAGAATTTTAGAGTTGTATAGGTCCAAAATTAATAGTCACAAGAATATACACAACATCTACGTCCTTGCCTTAATTAGAGACTAGTCGAACACCTTCGCAATTTAATGCGTAAAATTTCATGCTACGTATGTCCTTTGAAATACATATGATCTTCAATAGTATTTCTATCTAAAGTTCATGTTAAACATTATTAAGAAGTTAAAGTTTAGTCTATCTTGTCATTAACTATGTAAATACAAACAATTCCTTAAAGAAGTTAAAATTTAGTCTATTATGGATGAACTACTTAAATACAACCAAGCCCTTATTGGACCGGTTGCATTTTGCATACTCGTCACAAAAGTTCCAAGCATCTCAATTACGTGTCTCATGCACACAAACCTATTCCACCAGCAGATTTGGGCAAACTCATCTCTTTCATCATCTTTCAAACTCAGTTTCTTCCTTCTACTGCTTTTCCTAACATCCCAATTTCACTTTCACCAGAAAGTAACAGTTTTTGTGACACCACGAAAAGGTTGAAATTTTGCTATAAATATGTGTGTACCCTTCTTCTCAAATCTCATACCACAGACCACCCTGCTTCTCTCTCTCTCTCTAGATCATTTCCTCTTCCATGGCCATGAAAGGGAAAGGTGTTCTTGTTGTAGGAGAGAAAAATGAAGTGAATTTGAGTCCTGTGGAAAAAAATGAGACGACAAAGTTAACCAAAACAGTGAGGTTTTATGAATACACTTGCACATTCTGCTTCAAAAAATTTTATTGTGCACAGGCCATGGGAGGGCATCAAAATGCTCACCGCCTTGAACGCACACGTGAGAAGAAATTGTTCGTTCGGGATCCGATTGGATACCCTAAACAGGCATTTATTCGATCTGTGAAAACCCTGAAAGATTCCGAATTAAAAAGCAATGTTGCAGCCATCAAATCTCGACTGCTCAACAATCTGCGTACTGCAAGAGAAATGATGAAACATGAAACTGCACCCACTGTTTCTCAAAAGAAGGTGGCTCCACTGATGATCAAGCCACAACCACCTTCTTTTGAAGTTGGAGAGAGTTCTTCGTCTAGGGTTGCACCCATTGTTCCTCAAAAAAAGCTGGCTCCATTGAGGATTAAGCCAAAATCAGTTACTGTTGCTGCTAAAGGCCATTATTATTATCATCCTTATTATAATCAGAGGTTCATTATGAGTAAAAAACCAACTTTTTCTCCTATTCAACCTAATTCCTTCCCACCCAAGGAACTTAGCCTTGCAGAGAAGGTTGGAATCCATGCAGAAGCTATGTTATGCAATGGTGGCAATGAAGTTGAGGCAGAAAAGCTGGATTTGACACTCAAGCTCTAGATACATACATATGTGCGTTTGTTTGATCATTTTTACGCATGATAATAGAAAATTTAGCAAAATAAAAGAGAAGTAATCTCTTTAATGTAAGTTTTTTATATGCTTTTCAGTGGTAGAAAAGCAAGTATTATTCCTTTCAGTTGTGCTAATTTGTTTTATTAGTAGAACCTTGATTTGGATATTAAAGTGTTTAATTTTCGGAAAAATTGCAGTCACGATACCAAACATTTCTCTTTTATGCAGACTTGATCCAAACCTTTAATTTGTAGCACTCACGGTACCAAACCTTTCAAAAACTCGCATCTGAAGTCCAAATGGATGAAAATTGTAGGCTTGACCATTAATTGACCAAAAATCACAAATCTGACCACTGTTCATCTTCTTCCCACTACCACGCCCCACCTACGCCAAAATCAAAAACCACCTAAACCATCGAAACCCCATCCATCAAGCATCCCCACCACCAAAAGATTTATTCTAAATGATTCACATTTGCCCAACAAGTGCTGACAGGAATTTTACAATTTTCTTCTTTTGCCCTCTCCTATGCTAATCGAATAAATAGCATAATAAATAAATAAATTAGGGCTTTTAGGCTTTATTACTTCGAGAAAAAAAAGTGCATTGAGGTGGGGGAAACAACTACTACAGATGCCGAAAGGGATTGCGGTGACTGGAGGAGGTGGCAGAAGGAAATAAGGGAGTTCTTTTATTTTATTGGTCAACTAATTGTCAAATTAACAGTTTTCATCCATTTGAACTTGAGATACAAATTTTTGAAATGTTTAGTACCGTGAGTGCTACAAATTAAAAGTTTGAGTCAAGTTTGCATAAAAGCGAAATGTTTGATACCGTGGTTGCAATTTTCCCTTAATTTTATAAAACTTCACTAAAATCTTAGAAATTTTTCAATTGGTCTAACTTCAGTTTTAAACATACATTTTATGGGACCTACAACCCCTGATAATTATCTCTTCATTCTTTGGTATTTATCAGTTTCGTTTTCAAATTTTTCTACTCATTCATGTTTATATATGGTTAGCCATTTCCCATTCGCAAAAACTTGAGCAATCTTTAATTCTTTATAGGAACTATATTGATTTAGATAGTCTGCTAATAATAAGGATAAAGATCGACGTCAACTTCCAATAGTGACTGTGTTCCCGCACATTATATATTTGCTAGAAAGCATAAACTTCGATGTTAATGTTCGATACTTAATTTAATTAATAGAAGATGATGGTGAATGTGTTTCTGTGACGGTCGATTTGAACTTTATAAATGTTAGAAAGCATCAATGGCGTTAATGTATTCGTGGAGATTACTAGTGAATGATTTCCTCTAATAGTCAATTTGTATTACTAGAGAGCATGAAGATCTATATATTTATGGTGGTTCTTGTGACGGTCTATTTGAAATATATATTGCCGTTAAAATGTATAATGATCGATGTCAATATATTCATGACACATAATGGAGAATGCGTTTCTATAACGGTCGATTTCGATCCGACATATGTAACGGCTAATTAAGAAGCATGATGATCGATGTCAATGTCCAATAGTTAATGTATTCGTGGAAATTAACGGGGAACATGTTCCCCCAATAGTCGAATTGAATTGTGTAAACATTGAGAGCGTGAGGATCGATTTGGATGTATGACTTCTAGGAAGCATGAAGATTGATGTCTAACACTTAATAGTAAACGTATCCGCGACAATTAATTGTGAATTCCCCCAATAGTCGAATGAATTGTATAATCGTGACAGGGCACGATAGTTCATGGCAGTTATTTGTGAACATAACCCCATTGAATCTATCATAATATTCTATAATTTTTTACGTTTTCGAATGAAAGTAAAACATATTGTAAAGGCATATTCAGTATAATATTGTTCAATAAACAAGTCTTCCTTTATATATTAGTACGTTTTCCTTGAATAAAGAGAATCATCCAGTTAACCTTTAAAATGTCAAAACACAAAACCGTGGAACGGTAGATCTGTTTCTGCAATTTCAGAAATGGCACGTGATGTGACGCATTATGTGACAAACAAAAGTTGGAAGTTGACGTATTTTTAGTTGCCGTACAACTCCAAAACCTATTTAAGGATCTCGAAACCAACAATAAATACAAAGTACTTCTAACTGCTAAGATCAACATGTGTAATTTCCCAGTCCACGTGTATACCAACACGATGAAAGTCATCCCAAATAGTGATGCGGAAAAATGCAACGTTTCCTACTTACGTGTGTTGTTCACACTCTAGAATACTTGGTCAAATTTCAATATATTAAAATTTATTACTTCGTCAAGTGATGATGTGGGTGTTGTAGAGGAACATCGTAATTTGTACCAAAATGTTCATTCCATCTATTTTAAATTATTAAGTAGTAGTTGCTGTAACAATATTGTACCAAAGAGCTTTAGACTGACCTTCAAATCTCAACATAATTGAAATTATTTATTACTAGCACAAATACTAAAACAATCTTTTCCACACCATGAAAGTCATCAGAGCAATATCATACCTGTCAAATCTCAATATATTCGAAATTTTATCTTTTTTTTTTTTCTTTTTGATATACCTTGAAAGTCATCCTATGTTGTGACGTCATGGAGGAACATATGTGTATGACACCCATTTTAATGGGTTAAAAAATTTTGGAATAGTGATTGATGGAAGAATGTGTAGTGAAAAAATGATGAAAAGTTTTAGATTTTTGTGTAATATTATTTTATTTGGAAATTGTGTGGTTGAAATAAAGAAAGAGAATGAGTGCCAAACAGCAGTCACTTTGCTAGATTACCCCCATCAAATTTCAAATATATTGAAATACACCTTGAAAGTCATCCCAAGTGATGATATGAGTGCCATATAGAGTAATTAGTTAAAAATCGCATAACATACATTTTAAATGTGCAGAATTATCTATATCTGATACATGGATGTTAAGTACAAATATGCACTTGAAGAACAGGTAACCTAATAATATTTCATGCACTGAATTATAGTAAGGCTCCAGACATCTCAGGTGGCGATCGATGAATTCATGTCAGCGACGACGCGGCAATATGCATGGTGATCTGCAGTGTTCTTGAAGCCGGGAATAAAATCACAAAAGAATCTCAGAACAGCAGCTAGGTGTTGTGAATCATTAGAAGCATGAGCCGCTTCGAGAAACAGTGAAGGCCGGACAGTGTTGACCTGAAACCCAACCAAGTTTACACGTCTAAGTCCTAAAAAATTACACAAGCAGCAAGAAAAACCACATTCCGCTAACATTTTCCTTTCGCCATAACAATCATCAGCAACCTCCGCTTATGTCAGACGATACGTTGTGTACGAAAGGGACATGTTTGGCTAAGCTTATCGGTTTCCAAGGTTCTGATAAATTATAAAGAAGGTTTCATATTTTAAAATTAACTTTTACTTCACTGTCAAAATAAGTTAACAAATTGCTTATTTTATATTTATTTACTTATAAGCCAACCTTTTAAGCTACAAGCATGCTCTTAATAGAAATTCCATGATTTTCATTCACATAATTCGCTTAAGCCATTTGGATCAGTTCATCATCATGCAGAATTTACATGTGCAAACTTCTCTAATTAAATTTACCTAATTCTCTCCCAAACCATGACCAAGATGATAGAAACTATTGATTTAAAGTTCACACTTGAAAAACTTTTAGGCATAATCAAAATTTACCTTGTTCTTCCGAGCATAACGCAAAGCTTCAAGATAATATCCATCTTGAACAAGCAGCAACACATAGTCGTGATGCAATGAGAGCTCTCGTAGCATATCCAGCCCCAATTTTCGCGTTTGAACGTTCTGACGGCCTGACTCTAGCAGTTGTAATGCTACATCTTTTGAGGGCTCGATAATCTACAACATAAAACATCTAGTTTAAATTGAGCCAAACATTAATTCGAATCCCGTTGTAAAAAAGGGCAGATTTTAGTAACCTTATTTATGACAAACAATCCAAGTTCTTCATAACGTTCATCCCGAGCTAGTAGTTGTACCATGAAGACATAAGTATTTGGATCCACCTTCAATTTTTCAAAGCATGCACTGGAGCAAATGGAGATAAAGAAAAGAAAAATATAAGAGGCTAAAACATGGAAAATTAACAATTTCAGCTAATAAATAGAAATGAAAAATAAAAACATGAACAAATGATGTTGATCTTATTTCAAAAGACGGTGATATTCAAGCCATGACTTATCTTAACATCTCCACAAACTGCCATAATTAAAAAATAAATAAAATTTGAAGCAAAGTTCAAAGAATTCCTGGTGGAATGTAAAAGTAAAATGGCTTCACTACAACCACTACATTAATAAGCAATGTGATATCCTCAAAACAATACAGATTAGTAAGTTGAAATTTTTTTCAGGACTTCTAAAAGAAAATACCTGCGAACGAACTCAACGACGATAGAAACCAAGTAAGATGCATCTCCTGCCATCTCTTCCTCAATAGCCGCAAACACAAATCTGTGCAAATCTGCTGGTGAAATTGCGGCCGAACTCACTTGGGATTCCTGCTGCTCAGAAGCATTAGCATTTAATGCTTTGTTACCAGGTCCAAGAATTTGAGATTGTACAACTGATGCATCAACTTGAGCACCAGTTGCTTCAGGCTCCACCGAGTATCCTCCCTCAGTCATACCACTCAATGAATCAAGATTATGAGAAGTCATCGTTTTTGATTCAAAGCTCACACTTCCATCAGAACCTGATGTTGATAGTGTAAATCTGTTCGAAGATTCATTCTCAATGCCACGAGCAGGTTCCTGCGGGACTTCAGATGCATCTATTCCACTGGATTCTTCAACAACAATATTGGGGCTATTTAAATTAGAAACACCAGATGGTGAAGTCTCTTCTGTATCTGTTCTCTTCTGATAACTGCCTGTTTTGACTGCATGTGAGTATGTTGTAATTAAAACATCTATTGCCCTGGAAACCACGGCGAGAGATCTTCGTTCCAAAATAACAGTGCGAGCAATTGCCAAGCACAATTTTTTAGCCTGAAGCAACCAAAACAGCTCATTAACATTTGGAAGAACTAGACGTGCTACACATATTCTGATGTGCGTGGTCACATAAAATTATGTTCAACTAGATACTTTACATAGTAGTTATCACTTTCAGTTATTTGACTGATATACTCAAATATCGTGACGTAAAATTGGCCACTACATTTTCTGGCTTCACTACACATGATGTACATGCTTCCTTCAGAGCTTCCCCAGAGAAGGGTCAATCAATATTACACAGGAACAAGTTCATATGCATTTAGAGAAGTAATGAACAAGCAAGAAGCTGTACTGAGATCTTGAATGGATCGAAATGGCCACACTACCTTATTTGCTTCCAATTTCCTTCTTTGCAAGAATTCAAGGACTGATGGCGGGTCAGAGCTACTGGCAGAAATAGCCTGCAACAAATGGGCTTATTCACAGCAAGAATAATAGATATATTAAAAAACACGATGCAATGAGACGCAAGAACTTGCCTCCAGATCCAAATGGATCTTCCACAAAAAACCATTAGCAACATCACATATAAGATCAGGAACAAGAAAAGACCAGTCATCTCCGTAGATGATTATTTCAGCATCACTCAACTCTTTTGACTCTGAAGCTCTAGAGAAACCTCTCAGCAATAGAGGAAGTGGAGCAGATATAGGTGTTCGTGATTCTGAAAACATATCATATATAATGACAACTTTCGCGTCCACTTGATGAACAAGCAAAATGTTATCAACCACACTAACAGCGATCCTGTTAGAGTAAATTGGCAAAGAACCCTGAAAATCCAAAAGATCTTTATTACACAAAACGAAGAAGAAGAAGAAGAATAAGTAATGAGCAGAAACTGTCAAGTTAATAAATTTACTCAGATCCACCATACGAATAAGGATGCCAGATTGTTAAAGTTGACTATAAAGACCTTCAAAACAAAAATCAATTAGAGATTCCCTTCATCAATTTTTTTATGCGAGGATTTACTTCAGTACCCAGATACCTTCTAAAGCCCAAGCAGCTAGGAAGAAGTGTAACGAACGTGAGTTGTTGAAACTAGCTTATTGCAGGATCAATAGGCAAAAATAATAAAAGCACCATACACAGAAAATCTCCTATCAATTAATACTGCATGTTTGAAAAGAAAGAACCACAAAAGCATCGATAATTGCTCAAAATGTTTTATAATTAATGCAAATTAATTCCAGGGGCTTTTCAGCTCATTAAGTGGTATGAGAATATTTAGATTATCTCTGGACTGGGCTTTTCTCCAAGAACTTACCTGTTGTACAACAGCATCTCGGTAAAACCTATATGAGTGGAGTAGCATTGCAACTCTATCAAATTGCAAGCAATAAATTCTTCCATAACTGTGAATCAACATGAGATAGTATGACTATATGGCAAGTTCAAACTCTGACAAATGAAATAAGACAAAAAAATAGAAAGAAAGAATAACTAACATGGTGATAATATGGACATCTTCAGCAGAAAGAATAGGCTTATTGTTTGCCTCAGATTTTGCCAATATCATCTCAAACCTAGGTAGGCGGATGATTCCAGCCGATGAAAGCTAAACAGCATGAATGGAATGAGTCATAAGTAACAACCATGACAAACCAATATACAAAGTTACTGTAGTCATTTCCACTTAAATCCATTGAGGAAAATTAAGAGGACATTAGACACATTTCCTGATGAAGGGTAACAATAGTAAATTGAATTTTCTAGAGCTATAAATGGAAGCTGTAAAGGTGGATTAAGACTCTCTCATCCAGCTTTTTTTGTTAACTAGTCAGAGTGAACGTGCGTTGCACGTTATTTTGAAATGAGTATCGTGAAAGTAATATTTAACCCTTCACTTAATCTTTTGATATAAATATAAGGGATGCAAGCCCCTGAAAATAAATGTTAATTATTATACACGCTCGTAAATGGTGAAATGCATACTTGATTGTGAGTATTAGAATTACAACTAAATGCATAAATGAAGATGAATGCAAATACGATGCATAAATTAAAGTAAATGTTAATTAATTTAGAATTAATACAAAAATAAATATACGTGACAATGAATGTTAAATCATTTATATTAAATGAATATAATTTAATTTCTAATTCAGTGAAATCGGATACTAATTAGCAGTGCCGGTTCTGTGATTTTTGGGGCCTGAAGCGAATTTCATAAATTAGGTCCCAAAATTGTAGTATGAATGCAAAATCTATAAGTGTATTATGGATTCAATAGTTAACTTGTTAATTTAAATACAAACAATAAAACAACAAATAAAATGTATTATACAAAAGATTTATATTATAATTTTATTTTTTTTATAACCGTGGATATGCGGGTCAGCTTGCGCGCACTTCGACTAATCCCACTAGGCCCTGAAGTTTACGGTCAGGTACTCACTTCAGTGGTCATGAGGGGATTTAAACTGGTGACCACTGGGGAGCAAACCCAAAACCTGACTAATTGAACAACCCCTCAAGGTTAATTTATATTATAATAAAACCACAAAGACGACAATGTTCCAAACGTTTTATTGACTAAAAAAAGGAAGAATGAAAGAGGCTAAAATCTAAGGTCCCCTCCAATGTTGGGCCTGAGACGCGGGCCTCACTTACCTCTATGCAAAACCGGCCCTACTAATTAGCATACATGAACGTGAATAATGAACTGCATCATTGAATTTGAAATTCTAATTAATATTAATTAAATGAATGTGAATGTTTATTAATTGGAAATTAATAACAGGGACGTGGACGTGGACGTGAAATTCTAATTAATATTAATTAAATGAATATGAATGTTAATTAATTACATTATTTATTAAAATTTGTAAATTAAATACATATTGAGAAAAGAAAAAAAAAATATTATTGAAATAATTGAATTGCAGTAGGCCTATAATCGTCTGAAAAATGATTCTTACTTAATATGATATTTAATATATTATAGATAAGCAAGAAAATATATTATTTCTTTGTTTTCTCTTCTCAAATATCAGCATTCACTCATCAGCTGTTACTTTTTTCTTACATAATTTCATGATGTCAGATAATGAAAGCAGAGGACAAACTCTGTTAAACTTTCAACAAATAACTAAGACTGCCATCACTATAACACCTATAAAATGCTTGCTTTATTTAAAGACAAAGGTTAAACAGAAAAGTTTTGGCTATGAATTAGGTGAGTTGCTATACCTGATAACCTGTGAAACTCTTGCTCTGCATACCTGAAGCAAGAAGCACCAACCTGCTTTCATGCGTGTAGATGTACCAACTAACGTTCAATTTCTTTGTCTCAACCAAATGGAGTGATTTTAACTCAGAATTGTAAGAGTAGAAGTCCAGTCCACTGTAGTCATATCCAAATTTAGAGAGATCAAATAAAATAAAAACACAACTAGAGGTCTCACAAGCAAAGTTCACAACTAAGAGTTTTTACAAGCATTTTCTCCACCAGGGACAAATATCATGTCAGCAGATACTCCTGGTTTCCAAACTCCGGCTAACTAACAGCTCATGCGAGTACCACACACAAAATACCATACACGCTAAGAATTGTTTCAGTTCACTTCCATATAGTACTTTCCTTCCGCAAATTAAACAAGAAGGAATAGCTAAATTTTTTAATCAACTACTACTATTAGGAAGCAAAATAAAATTCAAAGATGATTGTACGATTTTATACTCTCTATTAAGTATTAGCTATCTCATCTACAAGAAGGAATAGAATTGTTTGATTCCCATTTTTTTCAAAATACATTTTTCTCTCTCTTATTTTCAACTACACGTTCTTTAATAAAATAATATTACACGCAACCCAAAATCTTTTCCTTCATTTTTAACCACACATTATCCATCAATTTACTATTCTAAAATGCATTCTACACTAAAATGGGGCTTAAACAGGTCCTTAAATAGTTAAAGAGGGGATACATGTATTTATTTAAATCAATATTCAACACGTCACCTCAAATGCAGACTGAATTCCTTTTTTTTAGACGGGGACTTCAGAATCAGTTAAGGAATCAAAGGTCTACATGCACAATTTTCATAAAATGGGTGCTGACAAGAGTTGTCTCGGGTCTTTTGCCTAGCTATGTTATCATGTTAATTGCCTTATCTAAAAGTTTAAGCTATCACAAAGGGGCCACATGTAACCATTTTTAAATCTCGTTTTCAACAATATCCATTTAAATACAAAATCTACTGCTGAAGCCTTTACCAGCGTCTCCTTTACCTGTATCATCGCTATTACACCTAATAACTGAATTCTAATGACCATATCCTTGCATATCTTGGTTAGTATTTGAATAATTGATGAAGTAAACTAATCACATGGATCAACAGAAAATCTTTGAGACAAAAAACATAGAGTGGTTACCTTGTTTTAACAAATACAATATCACAAGTTGGACAGTCTGTCCAAAAGAATCCCAGAATACTTTCTGATTCAGACCTGCATTTCTGACTGAAAGTATCTCCTGTTTGCTTGTTCCAGATCTGAACCTCATAATTAGATCGCTGGATGGCCAAGAGTTTTAAATCTAAAGAATATCGAATACACAGCACAGGGCCTTCGCATAGTGGATCAGAGGATGGAACAACATGAGGATCATATGGAGCAGTCTTCCATGAGAAAACCTATAAAACATGAAAACCACAGAATTTAGGTGAAAAGAGGTAGGCATTGAAAACCCATATTGCACAGTTAAGAGAATTATATCCGCACTACTGTAATGTAATTACCCGTTCAGATGTCAGTTGAAGTAGCAGTTTATTCCCATCATCGTACAAGAAACTTCTTGTTCTAGCGAGTGTGCATCTTAAAGGTGGATATTGAATATAAACATGTGAGAGAGCACCAGATACATTTAAACCAGGATGGTTAGAAGCAGATGCTTTTCCAGACATGTCAACGTGTTCCTGTTCTTCAGCTATGCAACTAAATTTTGGTAGGATATGTATCACCTAAGTCTAAGCTGCAGCAACAATGAAGATGGGGAGAAAGAAAGAATCAGACACGAAGTGCTAAATGTGAGAAATTCATGAGTAACATTGCAAACAAACTCTCGACTCTCAAATACTTGAATAAATTGTGGAAAGATAAGCTTTACCAATGATGCCTGGAGTGTTTTACTGCCAAATAGATAAACTTCCTTGAAATCAAACCTTTCGTTGGAGCTGCTTGAGAAATTCTGGAGTAAAGAAAGAGAAAAAGAATAACACAAATTGAGGGCATGCATCACAATAAACAATCATTTATGTAATTCAATTGGTCATACCACATTCCACATGCAATTCTTTAAGAGAAGGAATTATTTTAAACACATGTCTCGTTCAACTTCTGGAACCCTTGCCGCAACACAGCTACCATATTGTTTGGCCTGCAAAAAAACCACGAAATTTTACTAGCATCCCAGAACTAAAATGTTGAAGAACATCAAGAAATCAACAGAACATTTTGAATTAAAAATGTAAAACTGGAACCAACCAAGCTGTAGGACTCCCTTGACACAAAATTAGGAGAAATTGCATCGAGCTGTAGACTTGGACATCTTTCTCCCCATACAGCCTAACAAGGCAAATCTTTTATTCCTCCAAAATTAAATGTTTAACACTTGACATATATTTTCTCTCAGTCATGACCAGATCGAAACTATACCATAAAGTAGCAACAAACTGCCTCAGACGGTATGGAAACTTGGAAATCAATCACTCGCTCTGCCTTATCTGTCGCCATTTCATGCCAACTTGACAATGCATTTTCCATGATTGCAAAGTAAAGCCACCTAACGGGAAATGTTTAAAACAAACTACAATCTCCCCTGACTAATGGAGTTTTCACTTAAGCAAATCAACCAAATAATCAAGTAGCCAATCCTTCTTTTAAACACGCCTTTTACAAGTTAATCCACCTTTTTTATCTCCATGGTTCCAACATTTTACCAATTAATATATTGACAACCACCCACCCTTTTTTTATTTTTTTTAATTTCCATTCAAGCAAGACAAATCTCACTACTTGGTAAACACACTTAATTACTCGGTATTTTATAACTAACAACAAAATCCATTAAGCTGAAAAACAACGAACCTGAGCTGAACAATTCACCAAGATACGCTTAAGCACCGATTCAGTCGCGCTATTCTTCTCCTTCATAATAAAAAATTAGAACACCTATATGATGTAATCGTGTAAACATTACTAATAAACAAACAAATAAATTAGGGATTATTTTTGTAAAAACGGAGAGAGAAAAGCTGGGAGTACCTTAAAGTTGGATCGTTTTTTTTTTGAGAATAAAAGGCAGAGAGAATTGCAGAGATTTTCAAGAAGTGCAACCTCTTCACAGCCTGATGGGGGTGATTCAACGATGTTGATTACTGTTCTTATGGGTTGGGCCATTTGGACTTTGGGCCTCCCAGGTTGGCAAATCTGGGCTTTCTTTTTGTGGGCAGTGTTTGATATGTTTACTTCATTCGGCCTGCTAAGATCGTAATGAGCAGTAAATCCAAGTAGAATCATCAATTTTTTTACGTCTCAATGGAGGATATTTGGAAAGAAAATAATAATTTTAATAAAAATCGTACCACTTGGCCCGCCGGCACTTTGATTACCCTAACACTTTTCCCATTTTCATTATTTGGTTTATGATATAAGATGACATTAATAATTCTCCACGATAGTCATTGAGGTAATAGCTACTTGATATGCACTACACGTTGAGCACCATATGATAGGTCACCTAATACTATAAAGAAGTCAACCCCCATGGGGTCGTCGACCCCAATGAGGCCTTCTACGTTCACATAGGCCGTCTACCACTATCAGGTCGTCGACTCCCATGCAGCCCTCTACGTTCACATAGGTCGTCTACCACCATGAAGCTGTCTATCACCACATGGCCCTCTACGTTCACATAAGCTGTTTACCACTATGAGGCTGTCGACCCCCATGAGGCCATCTACGTTCACATAGGCCGCCTACCACCACAAGGCCCTCTACGTTCACATAGGTCGTCTACCACCATGAAGCCGTCGACCCCAATGAGGCCCTCTACATTCACATAGGCCACATACCACTATGAGACCAATGTTACACTTAACCATACAAATGGCAATGAGTTAGACGAAAACCACCCAACATCGAACGTGAGTACAACCAACCACTTGAAGAGTGAGTCACTCTACCAAAACGTGGGGAAAGTGTGGAGGTTTACGTGGGACACGTGGTACCAGCAACTGTCGAACAAATAGAAACATGTGCTTATAAATACCTCCAAGGTGAGAAATGTAGCTTCTTCTTGAAACCCGAACTATTTGAATTCTCATATTCACTCAGCTTACTTCCTAAAAATCGACTACTGATTCTCGTACAATGAGGGAAAAAGTGCCGACCTCATTTTGCAGATAGCGTACATTGATCGGAGTACTTGAAACACCGCACCCGTTAAAATGAGCACGAAGGATAATCTCGCAACTATTTCAATTTACGTATCAAATAGGCAGTAGAGTTGATTAATATTATTGTAGTTGATACACCTAAATTCAATAACTCAGTCATCTGGGGTCCCTACTTGAAGAGTTGAAAAAGTACACTTAACAAGGCCCAAAAGCAGTGGTTATATGTAGGTGAAAGTACCATGGACTCAACTTTTCTTGTTCATCTCTATGTATATAAATGTGGGGTCCCTCAATTTATCTACTGTCCAAAGGGGAATGGAAGTAATTCTGTAGTTATTCGTCGATCTCCAACGTTTTATTTTATATAATTACACATCAGTCGGTCATGAGAACTTACACTACTTTTTTCAACCACGTTTGCTAAGAATATATTTCCTGTTTTCCAAAATTGAATTATCTTTTCGTCTTCAAAACTATTCTATAATTTCTTATAAGACATATAGATGTGGGTCGCGATTTTTCAGTCATCATAACTCTCGACACATGACATGTTAGTTTTTCACATATAAGTTCAAAAGGGCAATTAAATGTTTGGAATATATGTACCAAAAAGAAATAATATGTTGAATAGATAGTTAGATACTCGGGGAAATAAGAACAGAAAACAAGAATTAAAGTGTAGTGACTAATTCTTGGGGAAAAAAAGGAACTTCCATGACAAAATGAAACAATATTGGTGACTCACGCTATTTTTTGAAACATTAATGTCAAAATTAACTTTTGCTATAAGCTCTTAACTAAAATCCTCACTTTCTTACAATTACAAAAGTTTATTCAATGAATTGATCAAACTTGGAAATATAGTATTTGATTTGTTTTTTACTACTCAAGACTTCAATACATCTCATAGTCGAGAAATCTCTACCAGTGAAAGTGCTACTAGAGAACAATTAGTGATTTACAAGTTATTCTAAATAATTCCGTAATGAATCAATTGCTAGTTTTGTTTGTCCATCTTTGTTGGCCTTTCTCAAATCGAACTCCTTTAAAAGCTTGATGCGTGGGCATCATCCGTCAATGTCATCGTTGTCTGTAAATGAACCTTAATTTGGACCACTAAAGGCCTCTTTAACAGATGTTGCATTAACCACCTAATATCCCATGTCTCTTTCTTGTTCTTACTTCAAATTAAAGTTGATAAATATTTATATTGATAATTTTTGTTTATTAATTGATCATATGAAATGGCTGATATTTAATTTGTGGTCTATCGGGTTGCAGTTGGACTGTGTTCATTAAAGATGAAGGTGCATATCAGTTTGTGAAACCTAATTCATTGAATTTGAGCACAACCGTCGGTGGAATATCACTGTCTTTAGATTTTTGAAGGATTTTGATGTTGGACGAATATAAACATTGTTTCTTCTGTCAATTGTTTGTGATCTATGAACTCATTTTTATGTTTTTTTTTCATTACAATTTTGACCTTTCAAGTTCGAATGGCATTTAATTTAAAAAATAAATAAATAAAATACAACGAAAGTCAACGAGATAAGACCTTGCATCTGATGCTTTATTTTAATTAAGGGTCTAGCTTACTCATATTTTGACCTTTTAAAATTGAACAACGAGTCTGTAATTTTTTTGAAGAAAATGTAAATTAATTGGTATTTGATGATTTAATCGGAGACTCAAATTTGTGGTAGTGGGCAAAGGTGAAGAGGTCCCCAAGACAGGAGTTCATTTTCTGAAAGAGAATCCAGGAACAAGAAGACAGCAACCCATCCACATTTCAACAAAATTTGAACACCACTTAAAAGAGAATTAGGGTTCCCCAGGATGGAGACACTTTCTGATAGACCTGGTTTCAAAATACACATTTTTTATATCCACAAAATAGAGATAAACATACAGATAAAACAACTACTGTGTGGTAATGAGACCTCATACACACATAAATGAAACATCAATGATTTCCTTAGTATCAATCTTTGTTTCTACTCATAATCTTTAATCTAAATTGGAAACAATAAATTTTATGTGGTCGAGTGCACTAGAAGAGGAGAAATAAGACCGATTCGACAAGACAATTGCCAAAGTTAACTTCACTACCCTACTCTATCAAGAGCACCACTACCATTACGCGAAAATAGAGAACTTACAAGCAACTCAAAATCCACTATATATAGAGAGATAAAGCTATATTCAATATAACACAAGTCACCCTATGGGAAATTACATTGCGAACTCGATTCTTCAACTTGAACCTTAGAATACTACGCTTAGGTGGCACTAATTGAAGAGGGCTTGAAAAAAGTGAATTCCAAGCATCAACGACAAACTCGTCTAACATGTATGGGTACTTACCTTTGCGAAATGTAAATGCTAAGTTATTTTGATATTTATTAGATTCCCTTGTTGCCTCTTTCTTTTGATGGGAGCCCATGTTTCCTCGAAATACACTGTGGTCTCTACATATTGAGTTAAAAAGAATTTATGGGCTCATCGTAAAAGTAAATAAACTCTTATACCATGTCATAAAAAGGTTGTACATTTAATTAAGTTAAAAGGCACAAAACATTAATATTGTCATATTCATGAGACGTGGCATAGGATGTTGCCATAACATATGATGGAGCAAGGGAAAAACAAACTGCAGGAAGGTTCACATCAGATATTTTTCTACTTTATGAAGGCACAACTTGTGCAGTCCAATAATTAAATTTACCCTATATATACTTATATACATACATATATGGTCCCTCGACTGACTACGACTTTAATGGCAAAGAAGAGTTTTGCATGAGTGAGGGGTTGTTTTGATGTGGATTTTAAGGCTTTTTCAATGGGAAAATGGTCCCATTTCAATGAAAGGGTGCTGTCTAGCTATTAAAGGAGTACTTCCATTAAAACACAAAACTAAGAAATGATTATGAGTGTGTGGTAGGGATTTTTGGGGAAAGAATTGATTTTTGAATAGTGATATGATGGGAAATGTGTGGTTGAAAAAGAAGAAAAAAGTATTGATGTGATGGAAAATATTATTTTATTGAAGAATGTGTGGTTGAAAATGAGAATTGATTTACTATAGAAAATGAGAATTTGTACCAAACAGTATGTATCATAAAAGCCCAAGAAGAGAGAGAGAGAAAAGAGATAGATAGTGACTAGTCTTGAAATGTGGCAAATAATTATAGGTAGAATTATCATAGGATAATTTCATTTGTACATAAATGGATGACAACGGAGGTTCACAACCTCTCACATGCATGCAGGCCCCATGTAATTAAAAAATTCCGGAAAAAAAAGTGGGCTTCCCCTATTGTGAGTGTTTGGTCATCCACATTGTCATCTATTTCGGTACATGTAGCATGGTTGATTATCATAACTAAGCTTAGATGCCATTCAGCACACTGCTAGTACGAATGATTTGTCTAATTCTTCAAAGCGGTGAAATTAAGTTGGAAATCAATGTCGACAGATATGTTCCCTAAATGGTGAAGATGCCATTTATGCAGTTGATTTCTGATAAATCTGTGGCAGAATTTTGTGTGCCGATTGATCTACTATGCAGTGGTAAATACAAAGTGGTATTTCTATTTCTAGGGTTTGACCCACCATTATAAACAGTAGACTTTTTTTACAAGTTTTGTATTATTGAAATATAGAATAATTGTGTAGGCACGGTTATTGTATTTGTTTTCTCCATATTATTAATGAATTGGATAAAATATTTCGTTCATCTGTCAATTAATTTTTTGTATTTTATCTTGTTATTTGTTTGCGATCATATACTTCATAACGTGTCATATATATTACCTCGAACGTTTTATTTCCCAACAATTATTATATGCATTGGAGGTTGATATTGACAATAATGTAAAACAAAGACTTGTATAGCAAAAAGACCTAATAATTTGCAACAAAATTTGCCAATATTAGACCGCTACGCTTACCTCAAACAACCACCATATTTTACTATGTATAGAGGTATGTTTGATACTTGTACTCGACTATGAAATTCTCCTATCAAATAATAGCTTATAAATGGAATCTCAATCTAACCAGGAAATCACATGGAGAGTATTGTTGCGTCAATTTCTAAATCAAGAAGAATAAATGCCATTATACCTCCAAAATGAGTCTTTGCTAGAAGAAGGATAGTGAAAGCATATTCTGCTATGAATTGTATAATATTGTATCCCAGTTGCAGTTAAGGAAACAGTGAAAATTTCAAATGTACTATGAAGGGAAAAATTCATGTAATCCCTCTAATTAACATTTCTAGGACGACCAGCAAACACAATAATTACAGGCAGCCAGGTAGATGCTATATGTATACATAGTACGTAAATACATATATACATAGGAGCAACAAGTAGTAGAATATGGTCCTAACTCTAGGAGTGGAGGAGACCCCCACCATTTTAACTCAGTCATATCTTTCTCATTCCATTGATTAATACACATTTATTGATGTAAACTGCATGCAATTTACATAACAAAATGAATAGAGGAAGAGTCAGAGGGACAAGAGCATGTGGTAAAAGTCTGCCTAGCTCCATCGATCCGAAATAGAATATTAATGATAGATACACAAATTAATTCGATTTTTATTGCATACAACTGCGTTGATCATCTTATCATTGATTTAATTTTCTAAATTGCTAACAAAGTTCATATTCTTTCCTTAAAAGATTAGTACATCTTCAACTGCCAATTTATTTCCTGTGATATTGAATCCAATAGCATTGCATAATTAATAACGATTGTCTAATAGTGACCATCGCTTGCTTACCGCCTAGCTAGCGCTTGAGCTGCATTGCGGTGCTCGCTTCCCGCAAGGCTTCTGCTCGAGCGACAATGCTATTTGGAAAAATATTGTTTCCTTATTTTTGGCTCGTTTTTTATACTATTTCCAACTATAATGTATTATCTCGAGTCCTATATATACTCAACGAAATTCTTAACTTCCATACGATTTTGTATGGGTTTTAGATAATTAAACAATATTGTAAACAAAAAATTATTAGAGGTTCTCTCCATATTAATAAAATTTTCATTCATCTGTCAATTGTTCTTGTATTCTTCTAGTGTTGTGATTGTTATTTCATATGGTGTCATATAATCTCGTCTTTAATTCTTAACAAGTAAATCTTCAACAACCAATTTATTTCATGTGATATTGAATATGATAGCATTGCATAATTAATAAGGATTGTCAAATAGTGATAATTATTATAGAACTATATACAAATCATTATAGACTCAATTAGAATGTAAATATAGTAAGTTAAATTCTAATTAATTGTAAAAATAGTTAAAAACATCTCTAGTATAATGGCTGTAAAACGTATATATAGCTTCGCTAATATGCCTCCATAGTGCAATAAGGTGAACGCTATTCGTCTCGGAACAAACTGATTAAAACATTTCTCTCCTAATAATCATATATACATTTATAAATAATTACAATATCATGTATAAATATGGCTATAAATATATCGGACATGGACCGGATCTGTTCATATTCGATCTAATTTGGATCCGATAATTCAACGAATATTTGATTGTTAAATTCATATCAAATTTACTATGTTGTAATTAAGAAGATAAAACCAGTG